CTCCCAGCCTTTTCAGCTTCGTGCTCCCCGCCACTGCTAATCAAACCCATTGTTTCCCGCCAAAAGGCCGGCCGCTGATTGGCTGCGGTGCTTTGGCGCCATGGCGAGACGCGGGGGTCACCTCTAGCGCGGCAGACTATTTGAGCTGATAGTGGAGTGGGGCCGTCAGGCCATCACGTGTGGGGCGGCGGGCCGCGGCGGGCGCACCGCATTCCTCGGACCCTGAACCGGCCCGGACCAGCCCAGACCCGTCAGCTGACGGTGGGCGACACTTTTACATATTCGTCTCCCAACTACCGACGCCCACGGCAAGACTCGTCAGTCAGCCCGGTCTTCCGGTGTCGCTCGGCGGAATCAGACCGTCATTCCTCAACTTATTTGAGAGGACGGCGCTTCGGGGGCTCCCCCAAACCCTTCCACACTCTCTCAATACCAAGCTCGAGGGCGGCGGAAGAAAACAGGGACCCACGCGCGTCAAAACACCGCGAGGCGCCGTTCCGAACACACGTGGAAAAACATCACTCAGTCCCCCATTCCAATTTTCCTCCCCCCTCCCTCCCCCGCGAGTTTTCTGGGCACCAAGCTGCTTACGTCCACGCCGAAGGGCAGACCCCTCCCCTCCCCCTAATCCCCCTCGACGTCGTCTGCAATAAAAATATCGCGCAGGTTTTACGCGCTGTCCCGGCCAAAAAGTGCAGTCCGTCGCCGGGCCAGTGCCAGTCCGACACGTCACCCACACTGTGGGACACAAGACACGCCTCGGGCCTTGAGCAGGACTAGAATCAAAGGTGTGAGGACACCAATCGATGCCCCATTTGAAGGGCATCCATGTGTGCCATTCGTATCCCATTTGACGACGTTCGAAACGCGTCCGTCCGCTCCGCAACAGTGGGCCAGAAGACCGGTGGAGGCGGCCAAAATTCGAGGCGCGTTTTGAGCTCCAGAGTCGCCAAATGGGACTCGAACAGAACGTGTGACCCCACCAATGGATTCCTCGTTCGGAGAGCAATCCATTGGTGGGGTCACACGTTCGGTTCGAGTCCCATTCGGCGACTCTGGAGCTCAAAACGCGTCTCGAATTCTGGCCGGCTCCACCGGTCTTCTGGCCCACTGTGCGCCCGCGCAGCAGGGCACCCGGTAGGTCGCAGTGATATCCGGCGTGACTGAACTGCATCGTGACTTTGAGGCCCGCCTCGGTGCCTCCGTGCGGCGGGCGCGCGGCGAGGGGCAGGGCACAGCCCGGGGCGCAGCCCGGGCCCAGCCGAAAACTTCCACTGTGAGTTGACGCAGGTGTTGATAGTGGCCCGGCTCGCCACGGCCGGGCCAGGCGGGCACACACTGATGGCGCTCCGTTCGCGCCGCTAGGGCCGCCACCGGGCAAACAAGGCCCTCGTCCTGGTGACTAGGCCCCATATCGAGCCGTCGGCGCCTCCGCGTCCGCCTCCCTTCCGCGGGAGCTTCCCGATCATTGGAGGCACACTGGAAGGTCGCCACAGAACAGGAACGTCCACCCGGAAAGGGTGGCTGAATACTGCACGCGCATCGACCGCAGGGACCGCAGCACTGTGTCTTCGGCGCCGGTCGAACCGCCAGACCAATTCTGGCGGTGTCTCTCTCTCTTTCACCGGAAAGATGTTTTCTGGACGACGCGGCGCGGCCGCGCGGAACATGACTGGACAGTGCGGGTGGCGTAGCCGGCGTCGCCGGCGTTGCGTGGCGGCCGACCTAGCCATTAGGACTGCCGTAACCTGAACGCCCGGCCGGAGGTTCCAACACCGACCAATTTCCACACTGTCAAATATTTTTCCAAATCGCCTCTTTGCTGTCCACGCGGTGTCTTCCGGGTTTATTTCTGGAAGCAAAGGCCTGGCCGTCGCACAGTGGACCAGAAGACCGGTGGAGGCGGCCGAAATTCCAGACGCGTTTTGTACTCGCTAATGGGGCTCGAACAGAACGTGTGACCCCACCAATGGATTGCTCTCCGAACGAGGAATCCATCGGTGGGGTCACACGTTCGGTTTGAGTCCCATTTAGCAACTCTGGAGCTCAAAACGCGTCTAGAGTTTCGGCCGCCTCCACCAGTCTTCTGGCCCACTGGGCGGCTGGCTCTCGAGTCCACTCCACTGTGCACACAGAGGCAAGGGGTAGCGCTCAATTTCCTCCTCCAGGCCGGAAGGGATGGAAGGACAGCACAGGCTGTAGCTGTCTCTCTCGCACCGGGGCGAAGGGGCCCCTTCGAGGGCCGCCCCGCGAGTGCGAGAGAGACAGACATGCACGTCAGTCCCCGCCCTGCGGCCGCAAGGCGCGCGCGGTGTGCAACATTGATGCGGCCGAACCGCCCTCATCGATAGTGATGCCGCTTCCGCGCCACGACAGTGTCGCGACAGTGCGACAGAACGTGCATAATGAAGAGCACTGCATCGACCGGAAGTCTCGGGCACTCTGCAAGTCCGCGTGGCCGCGTGGGTAGGGTGCTCGCCTTTGAAGGTTGAGGTCGCGGGAACGACGCCCGTTCCATCCTATTTTTCCCCTCCGCGTTCTTAATTGTTTTTCCCCACAAAATTTAATCTCGTCATCGCCATTCCGGTTGACGGCCGGCCCCTCGAGCCCTTTCCCGACCGGGCTGCGGCCTGGCAGTGGCGTGCCGAGCTGAGACGGCGGGCAGCGCGGGGCAGCGCGGGGCAGCGCGCCCCGTCCGAGGACACGCCATACGCCTCGCACGGAAGACTGCACTCTGTTGATGAGTACGGCACGACCGCGCTACCATACGAGTGCGTTCTGAACCTCGTCAACCCGTCGGCACGAAGCGTCGGAGCGCTTCGCAGCGCGTCCACGCCGGGCGTGACAGTATCTCAACGACATGGACGTCCGTCGGGCGACGTCGTGACAGACAGAGAGCGTTCAGCATGGCGCACGGTGGGCCAGAAAACCGGTGGAGGCGGCCAAAACTCTGGACCGCTCTGGACGCGTTTTGAGCTCCAGAGTCGCTTGGGACTCGAACCGAACGTGTGACCCCACCAATGGATTCCTCGTTCGGAGAGCAATCCACTGGTGGGGTCACACGTTCGGTTCGACTCCTGTTTAGCTCAAATTGCCTCAAGAGTTTTGGCCGCCTCCACCGGTCTTCTGGCCCACTGTGTGGCGTCCATCGCGCCTTTTCGAAAACATGTCGGGGATCTGCGACGCACGGTGGTCTGACTGGTTGCCTACCCAACAGGCTGACGAGCATCTCGTCGGAGCGTAGCTTCGGTTAGAGAGATAAAGAGAGAGCGAGAGAGACTCTCCGGGTTGCATCGGCTGCTGCCAATTCCCACATGCAGCGACACTGATAAGAATAGACACACTCGCCGTCAGCGCAGAGAAACGACACGACGTTCTCGTCTTCCTCGTCGTCCTCCTCTACCTTCAGTCTGCCGGCCCTTCGGCGGGGTGTTCTCACCGAGCCAGCGTCCGCGCGGAGTTTAGCCGACACGGGGGGAACGATCTGGAACGCGACACTAGAGAAAGCCCGCCCCACCGCGCCCCGCCCCGCCCCGCCCCGCCCCCCGCCCCGCCCGCCGCCCCGCCCCGCCGCCTCGCGGACTAGCGGCGCAAAACAGCAGACGCAGCAGCACAACAAGTGCGTCTTGGGAAAACGGCTTTGGCGCGCAGTGGCGCTGTGGCGTCGGAGCGCCGCACCTTCGGCGAGAAAAGACGGAGAATAGAAAAACGGGCAGCAGTGCTGCGAAGTGATTGATTTTGGCGCGTCGCACGGCCGACTTGAAATAGACTCGCTTGTCCATTAGTCGAGCTGACACTCCACTGTAGGTCAGGGGGTCGGGTGTTCTCAGCTGCACCAACAACTGCATTCGGCGGAGCGAAACCGAAATGTCGATCGTCATGCCAGCTGCCGCAAACTGGTGCATTATTTTGGTTCGCTGTTTACGCCTCTGTGCTTTTCGGTGACGTCAGCCGCCGTGAAGGCATGCAGGCCCCATTCAGGTGCGCGCCAAGACCAAACACGGAGGGGGCGAGGGAAAAATGAAACATGAAAAATCGTTCCGCCCATACTGCCGTCCGACCCGCGCCACTGTACTTGTCACGTCTCCACCGTAAAAACGAGCAGCTCGTGGTATCTGAGCGAGTCGCGCCCCGTCCTGGGAATTTGCCACAGAAAACGAAAACAAAAACAGAAACAAAAACAAAAGGCAATGCAGTCTCGACCTCGACGCGGCACCCACGGGGGACCAGATTTCTGCTGTTGGCGGGGAAATTGGATTTTCAAGGCGCGACTGCGGTACCCCTTACCGTACCCCCTACGGACCGAATCGCTTATGGATTCGTCCGGTTCGTCCGGGCCTGTGCAGAACGGCACTTGGGCGAAGGCTGGTCCTAGGGTGGATCAGGATGTGATAAGGAGGACAGGATGGATAACCGTGTCAGGGCCGAGTGGCCCTCCACCGTAATCTGCCACCCTTCTTCCTGCCTCACTCACACGGCGTCCTTGCGGGCCTTCGCTTCCTCCAGCCTGCCCGGCCCTTCCAGGATCAGTGGCGTGGGTGGCAGAATTAGGGCGATCCACTTTAAAACAACCAGTTTGCGTGCAGTCGAGTCGAGGGTGAAATTCACAATACATCGAAAACACACTACTTTGCTCCTGTCAGCGTGCTCGCCCCCTTTACCCTTAAAAAATCCTGAACCCGTTCCTGTCTCCTTTGGGGGAGAGGGGGGGGGGCTCTAGTTGTGAACAATCCGAGGCAAATCCGGCGGTCCACAAATCTGACGGCAGACTCGTGAAATGCAATAGGGACTTGCAACGCTTTCATCGGGATAAATCGATTTCCATCGGGCTGACCGGCCAGTCAGCCATTCATCATGGCCCGTCAGGGAGGGAGGGGGAAGGGGCTCTGTCATCAGACGGAAGGGCGAAATTTTTGTGGTTACGGCGTGGGTTCGACTTGGAGACGGCAGGCGCGGTGCATTGGCCCGTGGAGCGTGTTTGATTTGACGCTGAGACTCACCTGCTGAACAGTGGGTGCCACAGATGGTTGCCGGCGACGTCGTCGGGCGGCGCTGCGGGCGGCGGCGCCACTGGCGTATCCAGTTTGAGGAGGCGGTGCTGGGCGTTGGGGTCCACCAGGTTCTTCACCTTGAGCTTGGCGAAGGGCCTCTTCCTCTCGTCGGGCTGCTGCGGCGGCGGCAGCTGGTGGCGACCGGCGTCCCACTCCGGGGTGAACTCGCCCGACGGCCGCCTGTTCCCGGACAGGTCGAGCACGGGGGCGCCCGGCAGCGCGGCGGTGGCGGTCGCGGACGGCACGGACGACGCGGCGGTCGGCGACGGCGCCGGGCTGACGCGGGGGGTCCTCGCGGGGCCCACGGGGCTGCCCAGCGCGGCGAGCAGGGCGCTGTCCGGCGCGGGCGACGGCGTCCTCTTGACGGCCTGCTGGGCCTCCCTCTGCGCCGACAGCATGCTCAGCAGCGACTTGCACGTCGGCGGCCTGCTGCCCTCGGACTTGCGCGCCCGCTCCTCGGTGGAGTGCTTCCGCGGCGGCGCGACCGACGGCGCGACCGGCCCCACCGGCGGGGCGGCCATGGGGTAGGCGGCGTGCTGCTGCGCCAGGAGCTGCTGCTGCAGTTGCAGCTGCTGCAGCAGGATGAGCTGCTGGTGGTACTCCTGCTGCTTCTCGTACTCGCGCTGCTGCTGCTGCTGCTTCTCGTACTCTCGCTGTTGCTGCTGCTGCTTCTCGTAGTCCCGCCGCTGCTGCTGCTGCTTCTCGTACTCGCGCCGGTGCTGCTTCTCCAGCTCGCGGCGCTGCTGCTGCTGCTGCTGGTACTGGTAGGGCCGCTGCGGCGCGGCGAACAGGTTGTTGTTGTTGTTGTTGTTGATGGGCAGTGCGGCGGGCACGGGCCGCGACGTGCGGTGCTGCGGTGGTGGCGGCGGCATGGACGCCGAGTAGCCCGTGGGCGAGGACAGCGACGGCGGGTACTTGCAGGCGGCGGGCTTGTCGTAGGCGGCGCTCAGGTGGCGCGGCGTGGCCACGTGCGGCATGGGGGACGACGCCTTCCTCGGAGCCTTAGCCGGCGGCGGCGCGGCCTTCTTGTAGTTGTTGTTGTTCATGAAGGCGTCCAGGCCGCCGCCCTTGAGCATCGTCTCCTGCCAGGCCGCGGCCAGCGTGCTCTGCAGCTCCATCTGGGACTTGTAGTCGTAGCCGGGCAGGTAGCCGCCGGGGTAGGCGTAGGCCGCCTCCAGGTACGGCAGCCACAGCATCTGCGCCTCCAGCAACTGCCGCTGGTACTCCTCCACGGCCAGGGCCTGCTTGCTCTCGGGCTGCAGCAGCGACTGCAGGTGGGACAGCGACACGACGCACAGGTCGCCGTCCAGGCTGGGCGCGGCGTGCGGCACGGGGGGCTTGTGGCCCTGGGCGAGCAGGCGGGGGATCTCCTGCGCCGGGCTGGTGACGAGGGCCTGCAGGCGGGCGCGCGGCACGAGCAGGGGGTCGGGCACCACCAGGTCGGGGTCGGAGAGCACGCGCTTGAGTTGTGCCAGCGGGTCCAGCTCCGTCTCGGGCACGGTGAGCAGCTCCAGGAGTCGCGACTTGCTGCTCTTCTTGTCGGCCTTCTCGACCTTCTCGGCCTTGTCCAGCTTGTCCAGCTTGTCGCGCTTCACGTCGTGCTGCGGCGCGTCCACCGCGTCCACCTCCGTGCCGGGCAGTCGGTTCAGCAGGTGCCGCAGCGTCAGGTCGTCCAGCTTGGGCTTCTTGGCGGGCGGGGCCTCGTCGTGGTCCAGCTTGTCCGGCTTGTCCAGCCTGTCCAGCTTGTCGTGCTTCTCCTTGGTCACGCCCAGGTCCAGCGGCAGGTCCTGCTCCAGGTCGGACTTCCTGGGCGACGCGAGCAGCGACTCCAGGAACTTGTGCTGCTTGGGCTCGCTGATGGGGGTGATGGTGGTGGTGGCACCCAGCCGGATGGGCTCCGGGCTGCAGGACGGCCTCGAGGACGGTCTGGGCGAAGGCCTTGGCGATTGCTTGGGCGAGGGCTTGGGGCTGGGCGCGCCGCCTACCAGGGACACTTCCAGGTCGGCCGGCAGGCGCACCACGTGCTCGCTCTCGTCCAGGTTGAGGAGGTCGTACACGGAGCACGGCCTGCTGGCAGCCTTCTCCTGCTTCGTCTCCGCCTCCTTGGAGTCCTGAGGGGCATCGCCGCCAGAGGCCAAGGGCGCCTCCTTGCAGGACTTCTCCTTCCTCTCCGCCAGCTCCTTGCAGAGCTCCGCCATGATCTCCTCAGCGTCCTTGCGGGACTCCTCCAGGCTCTCCGACGTGTCGTGGCAGGGCTCGTGGGCCTTCTCCTCTTGGCAGGGCGTGTCCTCCTTGTCGGCCGCCTCCTTCCCCTCTACTGCTGCACTGCAGGACTCCTCCATGCTCTCGCCCATCTCCTCGCTGGGCTTTTCTTCCGATTCGCAGTCCACAGCCTTGCCGGTTTCTTCCGTCGGCTCGTCGACGACTCTGCTGGGTTCCTCCAACATCTCTTCGGCCGCCGTGCAGGACTCCATCAAGGCTGCCGCCTGCTGGCAAGACTCCTCCATCCTCTCGACGGCCTCCTTGCAGAGCTCGTCCAGCATCTCCGCCCCCGCCCTCTCCTCGTCGGTTTCTTTGGTGCTCTTGTCCTTGTCCTCGGAAGCGTCCTCTGACGCGTCCTCCAGCGCGCCTTCGGACTTGTCTTCGTCTGCGGAGTCTCTTGCGACTAGACTTGGGGCGGGACTTTGATCAGTCTGTTGCTTTGGCTCTTCTTTGCTCTCCTCGCTGGCGTCCGTGCCACCGTCGGTGCCACCGTCGGTGCCGCGGTCGTCCACTTCGTCCACCTCCTCTACTGGGTGCACGCCGGCCGGCGAGCAGGCTGGGTCCGGCCCGGACTCGGCGTCCGCCTCCGGGACGTCCTCGTCGTCCTCCTCGCCGTCCGCCTCGGACGACGCCGTGGGCGCCTCGTCCTCCACGGAGGGCCGCTGTCGGGGGCCCAGCACGGCGGAGAAGCGCTCCGTCTTGGGGATGGCCCGCCACCCGTTGTTGGTCTTGGTGAGCGTGATCCTGTTGCGCCGGTCGTAGTCCTCGCACACCACGGACAGGATGCGGCACTCCTCCTGCTTCACCCAGAGGAACACGGGGTTGACGCGCGGGCTAACGGGGCCCGCCGAGCACGCCGTCGAGTCCACGTTGAGCATGAGCGGCGCGCTGCTGCGGTGGTGCCGGCGCCGCCGCTTGTGCTTCCTGGAGTGCTTGTGCCTGGACCGCGACCGCGTGTCCGCGTCGCGAGACCGGCTGGACCGCGAGCGGCTGGAGCGCGTCGACCTGGACCTGGCCGTCCGCTGCTTCCGGCGCCGCGTCCTGGACGCCGTCCTCCCCTTGCGCCCCTTGCGGCGCACGGCCGTGTCGTCGACGCCGACCCCCGGTGCGGGCGCGGGCGCGGCCGCATCGATCGAGTCAAGTTGCGCTGCGTGCCGCGAGGGGCGCTGCGGCGCCACCGCCCCGCCGGTTCCCGCGCCTCCCTCCCGCCCCTCCGCGGTGGGCTGGGTGGGCAGCAGCGGGCCCGCCGCCGCGGCCGCGTTCGCGTTGTGGGCCGCGTCAGCCGCGTCCTCAGTCGGGCCGAGCGCAGGCTCGGCGCCGGTTTGTTGACAAACGTCAGCTGGCTCCTCCTCGGTGTTGTCATCCAGGAGGTTGTCGAGCAAGTCCCGCAGGTTCTCCATGTCCGCGTCGCGCACCACACCTACCTTGACGGGCGGCGCGTTTCCCGGCGGGTCTCCCGGCGGGTCTCCCTGCGGGGGCCGCGCTTCGTCCACCTTGTCCACCACGTCCGCCACGAGCTTCTCGAGGAAGTCCTCCACCTCCTCTAACACTTCCTCCTCCGCCTCGGCGACCCCTCGCCCCACTCGCTCCCCTCTCCCGGGCGATGCCGCAGAGGGCCCCTCAGGCCCAGAGGGCCCCGCAGGACCCCCATCGTGTTCCAGAAGGCCCTCAGCCTGCTGGGCCCCGCTCATGTCGGGCAGCGAACACGGCGACGGCCAGCAGTGGGCATGCTGGCTTTCACTGTACACGGTGCACACACACACACTATCACTGTATCCAAAGGTAATCCACAGGGCGATGACGTCACAGCACACTCGCGTCACTCTCTCACTCGCACTGTTTCAACCAAAACAATGGCCTGCGTTCGGCCGTGACGCGAAAGCGGGGCACAGATCCTCCGCGCTGTGGATATCAACTGGCACTGCCGCTCTACTCCGCGCTCCGCGCCCGCTTCGCCGCCGCGCCACGCCGCGGCCCGCGCCCCCCGGCCCTCCCTGCCGCCCCCTCCCCCTCCCCCCCGCCCGCGCGGCCCGCACGGCCCAGGCTCGGCTGGCTCGGCGCGGCGCCCGGTCGGAGACCTCTACGAGCCGTGCCGATGAAGCCCGAACGGCCGAACGGCGGCGCGGCGCTGCACTCGGAAGAGCAGCACGGGGCCGCGGGGTGGGGGCGGGGGTGGCGGCGGCGAGGAGAGCAAGCCGCCGACGCCCATTGGCTGGACAGGGCGGGGGGGCGTGGCTTCCAGAACTTTCCACCCCTCCCCCCTGAGGCCGGGGTTCCCGGGGTTCACCCTCCCCAAATGACATACGGACACTAAAAATTCGAAGAGGGCGTTTGTGTTTTATTTCCATACGCTGTTAACGTTACCTTGTTTGTCAAGCACCCACAAGGCTCACTGCTCGCCGCCGTGCCACGCCGAGCTCGGCAGCTCGGCCCCGCGGTAGGCCGGAGACGACCCGGAAGTCGGGCGCCCACACACCGGCGTGGACAAACACACGCACACAGACGCACGTGGCGCGTTCTTGTGCGGCAATTCAACTCGATTGCCCCTCTGTAATAAGTCCGTCCCAAGCCTTTGTCGAACGCTGGCCAAATGAAAGCAATTAAAGAGCCATTGCTGGGCGGGGGGCTGGTTGGGCTGGACACGTCCTGCCGGCCTGCAATTTCGGCAGAGGCCGATTGGGGACGCCATCGGGGAAATGGGAAATGGGAAATGGGAAATGGCAGAGCTGAGCGGTGACAAGGCGAAGCAGCGCGCTGCAGGCGTGGGACTCGCTGCACTGGCGGCTTGGCGCATGGCGTTTCGGTTTTCAGGTACAGTGCTCCCACGGTGATCTGGCGAGGACTTTGCCGGTCGTATAAAAGCTCCATTGGCACCCATGCAATTCGCCAGAAGTATGAGTGCCCCTTTAGCACCCGTAACTTTTTCCAGTAGTAAAGGTGCCCCTTCGTCACCCATCCTGTTTGCCAGTAGTACAGGTGCCCCATTGGCACTGGTCTCGTCGCGCTTCGACATCTCCATACGCCCCCCGCCGCGACCCCGCCGTGCCTGCGACCGCTGCGACGGCGGACAACCACTTGGGGTCATCCGATGTCGGGGCAGGGCCGGCGGGGACCCAATCTCCCCGGTGTCCGTCGCAGGCGGCACGACGTGGCACGATGGCGCAGCGGGAGATGCAGTCCAATTGCAATCGCCCCAGCGGCCTCAGCCTGCCAACTAGGCAGCCGGCCGACAGCCGAGACGAGAAGTTGCCCACGTGGCGGTTGGCAGGCGCTAAGAAACGGGCCACCTGCATTCCCGTCAACAGCCGCCCACGTCAGTCAGACGCGTCAAAACGAGGTAAATTTGACGTCAACTGTGAAGTGGCCATCGCATTGCGCGGGGCAGATTTGCATCCGATATTTCCGCCACAGATGCGAGTGAATGACGTCAGACTGACGCTTGGTTGACGTGTAGGGCTGGTGACGGCTGTGCAGGGTGGCTGCCCTGCAGCACCGACGTCGCGGCGCTGCGCGCGGACAGCCTGCCCACCAGGCGCCATGCCCCCGCACTGCCGCGCACTGCGCCTCGGACGACGCCCAGGATGCATAACTACATACCTAATGCAAGCGGGCTGTGCGGCCAGGCCACCCGCCATGCACCTGGTGCGAAGACTAACGCGCCCAGGTGTGTGGAGCGTCTGTGGTCGTGCCGTCACAGAGAGAAGAATATTTCGCGCTGCAGAGCTTTCCACGCCAGGCAGTGGGCCAGAAGACCGGTGGAGGCGGCCAAAACTCAAGTCGCGTTTTGAGCTCCAGAGTCGCAATGGGACTCGAACCGAACGGGTGACCCCACCAATGGATTCCTCGTTCGGAGAGCAATCCATTGGTGGGGTCACACGTTCGGTTCGGTCCTATTTAGCGACTCTAGAACTCAAAACGCGTCTTGAGTTTTGGCCGCCTCCACCGGTCTTCTGGCCCTGCGCCATCGCCTTCGAACCCGTTCACCCTCCTCGACGAAAATCCGGATCGGGCACTGCCAGCATCCCAACAGTGGGACGCCGCGCCGCAGAGCTACAAAGTCGTGCAACGCCAAAAGAAAAATGGCCTCTTCCCGCCCTTCCCCCTTCTGGTCCTGGCGGGCCCTGGCGGGTCCTGGCGGGCCCTGGCGGGTCCTGGCGGGCCCTGGCGGCGTTGCTGCGTTGCGGCGTCGCTGCGGCCGATGCATCGTTCAAGGCCAAGCAACACGTCACGCTGGTTGACCACCGCCGCCTCATAAAACAGTGCGGACAGAAGACAGCGCTGTAAGTGCAGAGTTGCCACACGTCCGCCCAAATCCTCTCCGAGCCATATAGGGGTTCCACTCGGCAGGCCTGTTCGCGACGCGCCGCGACGCGCCAAGTCGGTTTCAAAACGGCGCTGCCTGGTTTAGTCGCCGCTTCCGTTCCAACCGAACAGTTTGGCGTCGTCGCCGCGTCTCCGTCTCACTCCTAAGGCGTTCCGCGGGGGCGCGCGAGAGGCAGAGCGACTGTTCCGAACCGCTCTGCAGTTCTCCCGAAAACAGATCCGGTTCGGGAGGGTTCCGCACGGGTTGGAAAGAGACAGAAAGAGGCGAAAATGGCGCGACTTTTCTTCTTTTTCTTCTTTTTTTCTGTGTTGCCGCGCCTTGCCGCGCCTTGCCGCCTTGCGCCGCTTCCGCTGCGTCGCGCGGCACTGCCGAGCCACTGCCGAGCCACTGCGGCACTCCACGCCGTGCGAGGCGCAGCGAGGCGCATACCATGCACAAGCGTCCTTGGGACGTGTTCAGCCGCCGGCCTGCCTGCCCTGTCGAGCCGCGCAAGCCATCCGGGCAGCCATCCGGGCAGCCGGGAAAATCAAATTCAGACTATCTACTTTGAGAAACAGCGTGGGAAGGAGTCCGTACTATTTGGCTCGTTTTGGGATTCGATGCGAATAGGTAACCCGAGGGGGAAAAATCACTCGTCAAAATTGTGACTTGACTACTCCCTATTACGTTCTATTACGCTTTATTACGCTATTAAAGAAGTCTCATTACGTTTGCAACTATCGAGATTTAAGCTAAAATCAGACCCTCACAACGGAAAATTCAGAAAATTTTGGCTATTACGCTATCACTATTACGCGTAATACAAGGAATCGGTTAACCGACTATTACGCGAGTGATTTCTTCCTCGAGGTAACCTAAATTAACAGTCAGACCGTTCAAAGTTAACTATTGTTTAGTTCGACGACGCGATTGTCTGCATACTTCCAGTAGAACTGAGTGCCATAGTCCGTAACGTCAACGAAATTGTCTGGCTCCTTCTCAGCCCTGTTACCATTGCCTGAACCTGGACTGTTTTCTGAACAGTTGCGTATCCGTTTCCTCCGGCCTACCGTTCGTTTTAGGATCGTGCGGAGCGGTTTAGCCAGTACCTTCAGCCGTCGTCTTTAATTAACAAGTTTGTAGCAACTAGGCTGGCCTGGGCTGCCTGGGCGGCCTGCGCGGCAAGATCCCACCCGGCACGACGTTGTTGCCTTTTCTCATTTGTGTACACTGTGGAAACAAATCCCGAACAGTGTGCCTTCCGAGGACGAAACTTTCCCTATGAAAATCGATTCTGCCTTGCGAAGTAAAAGAGTGTGAAGGCAGCGGCCCCAGCCCAGAAACCCAGTTTAGTGTGCTCATTTTGCTCTCAAATTGGACTCGAATCAACCTTGTCTTTCTCATTCGAAAGCCAATCTATTCGTCGGTGCCTGCGAGCCTTTGGTTCGAGTACTCAATGCGGACTTTGGGAGCTCAAAAACGAGTCCGGAGAACAGCAGATCCCTCTGGCCCTCGAGACGGTGTCGAGCGGTGTCGGGTGGTGGCAGAGGTGAAGGGGTGGCACGTGGCTCGGGGCGGGCCGGCGGGGTGAAGTTGTTCTCCTTGAGGGTTGCGTTGCAATTCACTTCTAATTGCGGCGTTTCACGACTCTGTCGTCGAAAGCCGAGCTAGAGCGTCAGGGAATCGTAACTGTTCCACTGAAGACTTGGGAGGGAGCGGACGCCCCCC